TTTAGAATAACACGTCAACAATACAATGATACATACATATATATGTATATATATATATATGTATGTATGACGCGTCGTCGTGACGCACACCCTCCCTTCTTATTCGGGGGCTCGAGCCATGCTTGATGCAATCTCTCCTGTCGTGCTTCAGGAGGATTTATTTGTATATTTGCCAATGGCGTTACGTATATTACATTACGTATATTACAATATACATATATACATGTATTCTTTCGAATCCACGACCGGTACTCCAGAGAGATGATGGTCCTATTCTCTCGATGGATGCAGGTCGGACTGCAGCGGCGACACCCTCCAACGCCATTGGCAAATATACAAATAATCCTCCTGGAGCACGACAAGAGAGATTGCATCAAGCATGGCTCGACATTTTTTCTTGGATTGTGACATTTCTTTTTGTATGTGTATTTTTAAGTGACATTTTTTTTTACTCTTGTATAACCCCAACCTGGTAAGTCTTTTTAATTTTTCTTTTTTATTTTTACTCGGCGGCAGTAGCGGCGGCGACGACGGCAGCAGGCCCGGGCCCCCCGTCTGACATCATGTCCACGCGTCCTGTCCATGCGCAATTTTTTCTTTATATCATCTTTATTATTTATCTTTTTGTAATTGTTTCTACTTCTCTTGTATCTACTTCTCTATCTACTTGTTTATGTTACCGAATCCCACCGCCTCTGACTTCCCCTCCCCTTTCCCCTGCGCCCTCCGTTCCTCCCGCACATTCGCATCCTCCTCGGAGCTCCTGAGTTAGAACCGGATTAGTATACCTATTCTTAGCCTTTGAGAGAGCAACTGTTCTATCGCTCCCATTTATATTCCATTCATTTTTAATCTTAATTCTCAATTTTTTAATTTTCTTTGAGCTGGACATAACAGAACTCATAAAAGTTTTGGGGGATCGTCTGGGATCAAAAGTACCATCTTGAGAAGTGGGAATGACCACGAGATCTAATTCAGATAAGGCTAAAGTAGATAAACTCTACAAATTTGCCTTAGAAAACAAAGCAAGATCGAATTCCAAAACGAATATACAAGATATACCATACACTTCTACTTCAAGAACTTTTGAATCTGATCCTAAACACATCATCTTTTCCTTGGATGAAACGATAATTTCGAGAGATAAATTCGTGACTGTTCTTGGGTCGAAGATTCCGCTGCTTCCGACGACATCACATTACGGACAAATATATTTGATAATATTATAATAATCTCGATGGCAAATGGTAATCAAGAAAATAAAATTGAAGATCTAAAAATAGCTCATCTTAATTCTTTCACTACTATAAAATATGCAGTTGATGTCTTATTTTGATAGTATAAATATTTCAATAAATTATCGAAGATTGTGAAGAATCTATAAATCTATACTGCTGGATGAAACTGAACCGCAATTTACGAAAATAATTAGAACTAATCGATGAAGCGCGTCGTACTTTCAAAATCAGAATTTTTATAACATATCTCAATTAATTAAATGTTTGAAACAAATTTATGGATCAATTAAAAATGTTTATCAACTTCAAAGAGAACTAGATTGTCTTTACCAAAAATGATGAAGATGTTATAAAGTATGCTAACAGAGTAAAACCGCTAGAAAAACAAATATATTAGAAGCTTACAAAAATTCAAGAAACACTCTTTCAGATCAAAATATAAAAACATCTTTAGAAAAAGATATATGCGAATGTTTCATTAGGGGTCTGAAATCCAAAATTGAGCAAAAAACAACTAGAAACTTAAACGTGCAAAAAACTGTATGACGCGCTAAGGAAATACAGTTCTGAGTGGTAACAGATTTGTGACAAGGAGCCGACCTTCATCTAGGCTAGACAAAACAACGAGAATAAGACGCACGTGAAACATGTCAGTTACGTCGAAAGGAAGGTCACTATGTCTTTAATTGCAGAAAATTAAATCTGATTCCTCAACAATCTTGGGAACCAGCAGTTTGGGAAATGAAATTCTAATATATCAAATTTGTAAGAAACGTGGACACAGCGCTGATAAATGCCGGCTTCGTGATTCTCAATCACGTTAATCGATAAATGTAATACGCGAAAATATCATCGTTTACAATTATGTTCTAAAACCGGTCACAATGCGAAAACTTGTGGAACAAATAATAATGTAAAATCTCAATTCAATAAACAAATTGTCAATGATAGACCGTTGTTGTGATAAACCGCAAATCACACCGCAAATAATTGTTGGAAAAAACAAAACAAACAATGAGTCACAGATAATACGAATAAAATTGTATGTCAAATTTGCAATAATTTCGATCATATTGCCAAAGATTGTCGCTAAAATTTAATCAACGAGTCAAAAAATTCTTTAAATTAATCGTTATTGTAAAGAACAAGGACATCTTTTTGAAGATTGTCAATTAAGAATCACAAGTAGCAATCATAGAAAATTAAATAATCCGGAAAACTCCAACGGCCCCTTGAAGACGGATGCAAAACGGAGCTGAAAAGGCCTCACATCTAACCAAGCTTCAAGAAACCAAGTAAAGAGAAATACCAGAGAGATACGCTCGGTAATCGTAAACCTCGATAAACATAACCGTGCCTACCGTTCAAGTAAATATTCGTGATATAAATCCTGGCGTAACTTTAATGTTAGATACCGATTCCGGACCGAATATAATTAAAGAAAATTCAATTATCAGAAAATGAAACGATTAATTACAAAAATACTTCAAAATTAAATGGCACAAATAATTGTCCCTCATATATACCCCCGCAGAAATTACTTTAACTCTTTTCGATAAACTGGTAAATTTTCACATAATATCGGAAGATTTTCCAATTTTGCAATCCGATATATTAGGTGATGATTTCTTTAAACAAATAGTTAAAATTGGATGCACAAAGGTATATAAAAGTATACGTATCTGGAATTAACATGCCATTTCTCTCACCGGGAACTATAGTGGCACCATTAAGATCAAAATCATTATTTTTCGTAAGCGTGGACAATCCCGACATTAAAGTGGGATATATACCGAAATTAAAATTAACTCACGGACTTTATCTAGGAGAGTTGTAGAAAACGTCTCAGGAAAAGTATACTTGAACATCATAAACATTCTGGACGAGGAAGTGGAAATTCCGTAAATTTTAAATCGCTGA